CCTGATTGGGGCTGATGTAGGAGCATCTGATATAAAGGAAGAGGGATGACACCAAAAGCTGGTGCAGCAGTGGAAACCACATTTGAGCCACCAACATAGTGGACTGAATTACGGCAAAGACACATGGGAGGAGATTAATGTACCGACCTGTCCAATCCAGACTGAGAGCATCTACTGCACCAGCCAAAGGATGAAGAACAGGAGACAAAAATCAGGGAAGCCATTTATTGAAATGAGTAGAAAGAGCATTCAAATCTAGGACAACCCCCGAAAACCTTGAGGATCCAAAAAACACTCCATAGGTATATTCTTGTCAGGGCAAAATAACCGATCCACGAGAAGAGTCAGGTCACCCAGAAAAAGACATGCCAATAAAGTGATGTGATGTGTGTGAGCCAAATATAGGAGATGCAGCATTTGAAAATAAAGGTCTCTTGACCGAGTGTCCCCAAGCCTGGAGATGTAGGTGACTACTGTAGAATTTTCAGAGTGCACCACCATCAAACAGCCCCGAAAGGAGGTTCAAGATTGATATGGAGAAAGGACCTGGAAAGAGCTAATCTAACCAAAACCTGCTGAGTGTTGAGAGTATGTCTCCAACCTGAAAAAGAAGCATCTGTAAAAAGGTGACATTCCGGATGAGGAGGGGAAAGAGGAACACCCACAATAGTGTTTTCCTGATCCAACCACCAGGCAGGGTCAGTCTGGAAGGAAGGGGAAGGGTGAGAGAGGCATCTAAGATATCCCAAACAAAGCACCATTAGTCTAACAAAACTCAATGAAGACGACCAACGTGGGCACAACCATTAGGAAAGAGGGCTTCCATAGAAGCCCATGTCCCAAAAAGAGAGAGAGAACCTCTTGTGTAATTGGAGAAGTAGACGTTGCATATGAGACAATCCACAGCCTTTAACTGAAGAGAAGAAGGTTGGGCCCTGACTGGTCATGAAGTTGAAAAATATTCCGAGATGAACCAAACGTTTTGTGGGTGTAAGAAAAGACTTAACCACCTTGAAAAGCCAACCCACTCTGGCATTTTCCTGAAGACGAAAGTGAGTAAGTAGGGCATATTCTTCATGTGAGGTAGCCAGAAGTAGCCAGTTGTCCATATAATGATGGAAATGAAAGACCCTGGCAAATGCCTGGACTACTTGAAAGAACCCATAGGTTGGCAAGGCAAGTCCAAATGGATGTGCCTGAAAATACGAACTGGATGCATGGGATAGATGATGTGAAAATTGCAAGAAAGAGCAAAATATGACTCCATGGGGAACATGGAAAGGACTAAGAATTGGTGCAGAGATGATACATCGATGACCAGGTGCCAATCCCTATCTTGTGGGGAACAATAAACAGAGGAGAAGAAAACTTAGGAAGAGAAGGACCACCTTATTCGATGGCATGCTTATGAAGTAAGTCCCAAACCACCTCCAAAGGATGCTGGCATGAAACAGGAATGGTATAGGAGGACCAGACAGCAAAGGAACTCCAAATGTGGGAAAAATGGGAAGGAGTCTAGCTCCCATGGGCTTTGACCCGACAACATAGTCACAGATGCTGGATGCCCTGAAAATGACACCTGGTAGGGTAATGACGGCGAGTTTCCAAAGACAGATAAGCCAGAACC